ATTACTCTTGACAGGTAGCTGCTCTATGGCCATTTAGACCTAGCCTCAGAAACCACTAGCATCATTTCCACAGCATTCTATTTGCTGAAGCAGTCACAAGCCTGTCTAGATTCCAGGGGAGGAAAAGCAGAACTACCACTGGCTCTAAGAACTGAAGTTAGTGAGTAGTAAACCCTGAGGCTCAAACGCAGCCTTTCCTGATATAGGACCTGTGCTTAGTGTACCACAGACTCATTCATAACCTGTGGACAGAACACCCCTTAGGAGACACAGAGTTATTTCAAGGAGTCCAGGAAACCATATGCACCAGGCATTTCCTGTGGATAAATGATGTATCTTATATATGTAAATAACCGTATTATTATCTTTAAAGTGTAAGTACTGTTCTTACAAGTAATAAAATGTAAACTTATTTAAAAATCTTTGCTGAAATTGTAGCTTTTGTATTTTATATATTTTGTATTACACATTTTGTATTATGTATTTTTTAATCATGAATACTAAATGTACAACTAACAACTAAGAGGAAATATTTTTTATGCTTAAAAGGGGTGGTCATATCTTCCAAATTGAAAGTTACTGCTTTCGTATTCTACTATAAATCACAGAGAATCTCCGAGGAAATGGTTAGAACGTAGACACACTGCCTACCTGATCCACAGGCACATCTAAGGCAGCTCAGCTCACAGACCCTGTCGCAGCAGCTCCAGGCAATGTGCCTTCCCTGCCTGCATTTGCAGCACAGCTGATTGGACCAGGGGTGGGCAGCTGACCCAATCAATCCTTAAACTGGCCAATGACCTATGGGGTGGTCTGGCACCATAAGGACAAACTGTGCTACTCTTTTATATTAAGCATTTTCATTTAGACATACAGACATTCAGCATATGAGACAGCCAGCAGCAAGAACTGACACTAGTAGATCAAGGTAATGAGGGAGCAAACTAACCCTTAAGTAGAAGCTACCAATAGAGAAAAGATAGAGGAAGAGAAAGCTATTTGCAAGCAGGAGGAGGATCAAATAGAACGAAGTGGATCCAGGAACACAGCTGAGTGGTGTTGACAGAGAAGCTCTTAGGCAGCCAGGAGTGATTCTTCCCCACAGCTGTCCATTAGAATCGGACTGGGAGATGCTACTTCGTGGAAATGCTTGGGGCCCAACCCGGATTTATTCACTCAGAATCTCTGGAATATTTAGATGTTGAAAAAGCTACAAAAGCCATTCTGATGCCCCCTGTTTAGGAGTCCCTCACCCCCCAGGAGCCCTGCTGTGGTGCATTTTCCAGTCTCCTATTTCAGTGCGTTACTTTATCTTCCTAATTGCCCTGTATGCATGCTCATAGTTAAGCCCCGTTACCCAGCGAAGAGCCTCCATTCCCTCCAACCAAAAGTATCTCACTACAACAGTCACTAAAAGGAGAGCTACAGGGGTAAAAAAATCTAAGAACCCTTTTGTTGAGGCTGCTAGAGATACACAAAAGCTACAAGAGAGAACTTTTCATATAAAATCATCTTCCGTAAAAAACGTGTTTTTTTCTGATTTCTTATCATAAAAGCCTCCTGAGGAGTGAGTTTTCTTTGAAGAGTTATTTATATCTTTTGTTAAAGAAAAGGAAACTCCAAGATTATCCGACGACAAATAAATTAAAGGTACATGCCTTTCTCTTGACTTTTTCTAGATATACGAGGCTATAAACTAATGAGGTCAACCCCGCGTGCCACACAGAAAAGCAGGCTTGTTCCTTTGCCATCACATGTGTTTGTATTTTGTCTGTCAGTCCATAGGCCTTTTTTCCCCTCATTGTCTGGAACTGTAGGAAGCAACTCAGACACCAGGGAAATCTGGGATGTGAGTGTTCAGTTAAGACAAATTCCTCAAATCAACATTTCTGTAACTTATTTTAAAATTGTGCCTCCAGCACACGAAGGAGTGCTTGGATTTTCTATGACGGGAACTTAAGGAAATTTGAGTTTGCACAAGTGGTAACATTAATCAATTTTTCAATTAACAGTCATTCACTCTGAAGACAATAGATTGAAGACAATAGATATAGATTGTTTTGTATAATCTCAGTATACAAAATAGCACTGTTATGGATCTTACAAATTAAAGTTACTTCATAATGAGTGGTACTTATCAAATTATTTCATATAAGTTTTTTTTTACAGTTCTTCGTAATTCACTATTATTAAGACATACACTTAGAATTGTTTCTTCTGTCTTAATGTTTCAAACTAATGTCCCAATCCTTTCCAGCCTCACTCCCAATACTCCTCTTTCCTTCCTTACCTTAAGTTACCTGCCTTTCTTTACCTTTGTAGGCAGAAACAACTCCACCAGTAAAGTCCTTCGGATCATCCTCCTGCTTTAAGGCAAACTTCACTTCATCCCAGTCTACCCTGTAACAAGTCATCATTTTTGCACCTGTATCCCTCTATCATTTACCCAAAGCTTCTTCTATATTTAATACATATTGTGCAAATTATTTGCTTCTCCTTGAGAATAATAATAACCTCTAATGCATAGCACAGTGACTTGAACAAAGTAGTTACTGTACATTTTTGTTGCAAGAATGAAGAAATGTTTGTTTATAATTTCTAATTCCCATCCACCTATAGCCAATGACACTCATTACTGAGATGATTAACTGGAATGCAGTTTATGGCCAAGGAAAAGCATTTTCACTGTGATTCTGGATCAAAAGAAATCAAATTTATGATTTTGAATTTTAAGACCATGATCCAAATAAGAACTATCCATATATTAAATTGTTACAAAGGAATCGACCATCTTGAATCTAAAGGAAAATACATAAAACTATAGTATGGATGTCAGTACTAGATAGGAATGCTGTTCTATTAATTTTCTCAAAATAACTAAATAACCCCATGGATATATTTTTTCTGGAATATATTTCTCAAATTCTAAGTCATTATGGGTTTGAAACTTTGAAACTTCATTGGATACTCACCAAGAAGATACTTAACAAAGTGACAAACTAAGTAACTATTTCAACTTCTGAAGATTTTTTAAGGAGGTCTTTGACTATGACGTCAACCTGTTTTCTAAATGCCTAATAATTAAAATTTCAACTTAAAGATAATAATAGAGGCAGAATTATGATTATCTATACATATCAAAATTGAGATGAAAATCAATCCTGAACCATAATTCTCAGGTCTCTGTCGATATTCCTGAACCTTCACCTGAGTTCCAGAACCAAATCCTCACTTGCTTACTACACATTTGCAGTCCAGATACTCCAAGCTCACCATGTCCAAATGTAACTCTCCCTAAAACCAACCCTCGCGCTCCACTCAATTTCCCCATCTCTGCTAACACGTTATTCTCTCAGTTACTAAGGCCACACAAGTAGTAGCTTTTCACCATTTCTTCTCATTTATCTTTTGTTTTCTGCCACATATATATTATATGGATTCATCCTCAAAAGATCTCTTGTATCTATATTCAACCTGTGTTGTTCCCATGTACTTAGCATCCTTCCCTTTGGGGAACTATCCCTCTCCTATTTGAGGTGAGGCTGTGAAGCACAGTCTCCTACCCAATCCTCACTCAGAAACAAGCATGTGACCCGGGTCATTCAAGATATCTCATCCCTCTGGCAAATGTTATTGATCAGAGGGGTAGATTTATGCTGCAAGTGGAGCCAATCAGAGTTTCCTTCTTTGAATTCATAATTAATATATAATTCTCTCTCTGCTAGAGTTGCTCATCTAGGAGTAGATGAATTTGCAACTACCTGCAGGCATCTATATGCAGGAAACATATTTAGAGTAGAAAGAGAATGAGAATAAACCAAAGAAGTCATCAGAGCCGACATGGAAAGTCAGAGTGTTTAAACAACAGTGTTTGAGCCCCTGGAGCCAGCCATGCCTGAATTCCATCCCATCCCTGGACTTGCCAGTTAGATGAGTCAAATTTCAAAATCCTGACTTGCCCACTTTCTGGCTAGGTAAACTTGGAAAAGCTCTTAACTCTTCTGTGTCTCTCTTACCTCATCTATAATACATTCCTCACAGGGTTATATGAGGATTAGAATAATAAATGCTTGATAAATGTTAGCAATGACCATGAAGTACCAGTGAATTCTGTTGTTCTTTAGTCTAGTTTGAATTGGGGTCCTGTCACGAAAGAAAAGGTACTGGTGACAAAGTTTCAATTTCCTTTAAAATGTGCTTGGACTCCATCCTTCCTCTGCCTTCCCATTATCACCACCCCCATGAGATTCTTGAGCAATGTTTTTGCTGGCTTGTCTGACTACCTCTGCACTCTCCACAGTCCACCCTAGTTACCAGTGGCAGAGCTACCTTCACTAAACATCACTTTCATCATGGAATATCCCTGCTCCAATTTTTCCCCAGACTCCTCTCCCTGGCTTCCCAGGTTTCACCTTAATTAGCCAGACTGAATCACCTCTCTTCCTAACATTCCAGTCAACCTGACATCCTACCTTTCACAAGATCGTGCCTTGCTAATTCATGTCCCTCTGCCTTACCTTGAATCATCACCCTCACCCATCCCATCTTTTTCCCTCTGGATATAATCAGCTCCAATCCTGCAAATTCAGCCTCCTCTATACCTCTTCCAACCATCATGCCTTTCACTGATCTTATCCTCCTTGAGATTCGGTATCATTTTCAGTTCTGTACTACAAGCTGCAACATGCAATCACGGATAATCCTGTATTATTTCAGGTGGGTCTAACTAATCCAATTAGAAAGTGAAGTTTTTAGGTTACATTTCTGGGGGCACGTCCCCTATCCCAGTGGCAAGCACAATATAGGCATCAAAATTAATATTTTTTGTAGGGCCAAATCGTAACACTAACCATCCCTACTTTTCAAATTCTGTAGTTTTAAGAGAATTTTTCTTCAAATCAAGATAACTTTTACTGCAGTTACCTAATGTTGATGCAAAAACTCGATTCTGAGAGATACATAAATCTCAAATGACAAAATAAGGCAATAAGGCAATTTGGAGAGAGTTACATGTTTTTATTACATAAACATTACATTCATTGTGGGAGCTAGTCTTCAAGTTTGCTTCTTGATTTCATAGAATGTCAAATATCTGTAGAAATTATCTAAGAATGATTTATGAAACAAACACTCTTGCATCCCCACCAAAAAAAGCCTCATTGCCTACATTTTCCAGCCGGATTCCTGAGAAAAAATAATAGGTTTTATTTATTTTACAGTGTAATACATAAATTTACTTTCAAGATATAAAAAAGGACAGGCTTCTAAAATGAGTCTCCTTTTGTTTATAAAGTTCTATAAAAATACATTAAGTTATGCTAATACGTTTGTCCTTTGATGTAATATTCCAGTTTACCAGAAACAAAAAAACCCACAATAAGCAAAGCTATGCAAGCCACATTAATCTTGCAGCAATATAATGTCCACATCATCATGAACACCTTGCAGAAGTAGCTCTCCTGGGTACGTAATCATCTTCCTTCTTTTTGCAGCTTTGAGAGTTCCTACCAGTGCTTCAAAGAGATTGGCACATTTGTCATCTCGGAAGAGGACCCCAAATTTCACACTTAATTTTCCATCAGCATCTAATTTGAGAAAACACAACGTTAGCCAGTGCAAAGTCTGTTTCTTGCCACCATGTGTGGCAGATACACATAACCTTTCATAAACATCTAACTGAAGGTTAACCAAGATTACAGTTTAGCAGTCAACAGTCAGAAATTCAGTGTAACCTCTTGCCAGATTCAAAATGTGATAGAATAAAAGCAATGTGTGGTACATCTCCTAGCTTCAGTGTCATCTGGACAGAGAGTGGAAGAGAACTAAGAAACAGTAACAAAAAGTAAACGTGTGGGACTTCCCTGGAGGTCCAGTGGTTAAGATTCCGTGCTCCTACTGCAGGGGACACAGGTTCGATTCCTGGTCTCCCTAGCCGGGGAACTAAGATCCAGCATGCCACACGGTGTGGCAAAAAAAAAAGTGAATGTGATACAGCACTGCAGTGGACAATTCCTCTCTGTCTAAATTTCGATTTTTTAATTGTTAGTTGTTGAATCGATAAAAATAACAAGTACAAGAGAAATCCCAGATCAGGAGCAGTGTTTCTCTAAGTGTGTTCTGAACATGCTCAGAATCCCCAGGGAAGGAGTGGTGACCTTAAAAATGAAGAAATCTTTATTTACCAGAATCCCTAGATTATCTAGTTTGAAGGCCAGTTTTTAGTATAGATGTTAAAAGTTAAGGTAAACACTAAAAAGAAGTGAGCTACCAAGTCATGAAAAACGTGGAGGAACCTTAAATATGTATTACTTAGTGAAAGAAAGCAACCTGAAAAAGCTACATGCTGTATGATTCCAACTATGGGATATTCTGGAAAAGGCAAAACTATGGAAAAAGAGAAAACTAAGTAAAAAGATCAGTGGTTTTCAGTGGTTAGGATACGGGAGAGATGAACAGGCAGAGTACAGAGAATTTTTAAAGCAGTGAAGATACTCTATGATACTATAATGTTGGAGACACGTCCTTACGCATTAGTCAACCCACAGAATGTACAATACCAAGAGTGAAATGTGATGTAAACCATGGACTCTGGGTGATAATAATATGTCAATGTAGAGTCATCAACTGTAACAAAGGTACCCCTCTGGTGGGGGATATTAATAATGGGGGAGACTATGTATGTGCGGGGGTCAGAGGGTATATGGAAAATCTCTATACCTTCCTCTCAATTTTATTGCAAATCTAAAACTGTTCTAAAAAAAAGTTTTTTTAAATTAAGGTAAACAAAAGGTGGATCTTTGGCTAAAAGTCAATCAACTGAAGTCTCAAAGGGTAATCTAGGACACCTTCCAACTGTTGGCTGTATCCTTTGATCTACCAGGCTGAACCCTTGACCCAGTCCTATCCTACTGCACTGCTCCAAGTTCTTCCCTCCTAAAGCTGCGCCCCCTGTCGAGTAGATGGCCATCACAGTGAGAAGGGTTCTTGAGTTCCTTCACTCCCCTGCTAGAGCTTATAGCCTGCAGCTTAGTAAACTCCTACTGTGGGTGCAGCCCTGTGCTGGGCACTAGAGGCAGAGAGAAGGAAGTATAGAATCACTTTCTAGCTATCAAAGAAATGGCTTCCATTCCACAAGGAAATAAACATACAGTAAAACAACAGCACAAAGCAGTACGTGATTGGATGTCAAGAACAAGATGACTGGGCTAGAATGGGAAGGAAAGACTTCATGAAGGGCAGTACCTGTTCTGGACTTTAAAGGGAGTATAACACAGAGCTTTTTAAAAAAACTTGACAGTCCTCAGTTGAAATCCTGGCCATCTGCTAGTTGTTTGGCCTTGAGAACTTTTATGTAAGCTCCCTAAGCCTCAGTTTCCTCATCTGTATAATGGGGATCTTAATACCTCCCACACTGTGAGGTTGGGGACACAGTTCTAAAGCACAAAGCACAGTGCCCAGCACATGCTAAGCACTTGATCGATGATCATTATTGGTTCAATTATTTTTTATGGCTATAACACATTTTATTTATCCATTCATCAGTTAACTTTGGTTCAATTACGAATGAGAGAAAGGGGGTATGTGCCATTAGGCACAGGTGAAACAATCAAGTGTCTAGGAGAACAGTAGTTAGAGTGGCTAATTTACTTACCGCAAGTAAACCATCTAAGAGGAGAAGAAGGAGATAAGTTTGTAAAGGAAAACAGAGAATGCTTGGCCTGGAAAGCAAAGATGCACCTGTTTGATTTCCCTTTCTTTTTTTTTTTTGGCCGCACCTCGTGGCTTGCGGGATCTTAGTTCTCCGACCAGGGATTGAACCTGCGCCCTCGGCAGGAAAGCTCAGCGTTCTAACCACTGGTCCACAGGGAATTCCTGCACCTGTTTGATTTCTTAACTTCTAGCTGCACAACCCTCTGTTTGCAATGAGAATCTTTCACTGATTACAGGAATCAGTGCAGCTGCTGGTAACCTGGCAGGTCCTTCAAGCAATCTGAGTTGCAGTTAGGAGGGTAAAAATACCCCTCACACAGCAAGAATACGGAAGAGCTGGGATTCATTCCCAGAGTCTGACTCCAGGGCACACACTCCTTTTTTAAAAAATAAATTTATTTATTTTTGGCTGCATTGGGTCTTCGTGGCTGTGCGCAGGCTTTCTCTAGTTGCGGCGAGTGAGGGCTACTCTCCTTTGTGGTGCGCAGGCTTCTCATTGTGGTGGCTTCTCTTGTTGCGGAGCACGGGCTCTAGGCACGTGGGCTCAGTAGTTGTGGCTCGCAGGCTCTAGAGTGCAGGCTCAGTAGTTGTGGCGCACGGGCTTAGTTGCTCCATGACATGTGGGATCTTCCCGCACCAGGGCTTGAACCCATAGTCCCCTACATTGGCAGGTGGATTCTTAACCACTGCGCTACCAGGGAAGTCCCCCAGAACACACACTCTTAACCACTTCCCAATACACGTTTCCAGTTTATCTGTCTTTTCGATACCTAAAGAGGCCCACAAGGGCTGAGATGGAATTTTGTTTATTTTCCCATCTCCAGCACTTGAGCACAAAGGTAGCACTCAAGAAATATTTGTTAAACAAAGGAGTTTAAATCTCCAAATAATCTTTATCCACTTAATTCTGTTCTACAGGATGAAAAATTAGAGACTTTAAAGAACTTTATTTTAAAAGAAACAGGTAAAACTAAATTCATCAATCTCCAACTTCGGCTGATACATCATATTCAGATTAGTCTAAATCATAATTTAGTTTAGTCAAAATTATTCCAGATACAACATAAATAACCATAACCTGTCAGTAGATAACATATCTCCATAGATGCTTTCCAACTTAAAAAGTCATCTATTACCAGGAACAGGTAAGTCAAGGAGGCCTAGTGAAGTTGCAATGTTCAAAATATTTTCATCTTTATAGAAGTTAGGATAATTACTTTGTAGTCATCTAGTTTGTAAAGCTGCTCATTTTGAAGTGCAGGTTCAGTTTGCCTTAGCAAATAATAACACTGTGCTAGGGATATAGATGTTAGACTTTTAAATGCAATTGAATCTGATCAATAAACACTAAGCTGACATTGAGAAGGATCTAATAAGAAAACCCGACAAATCTTTGGAAATATATCTTTAATATCTTTAACAATCCAAACAATAGTACTACTCCCAAGAGTGACAGAGTTCGTCACAGAGCTCAGGAGAAACTGAGAATGTAGAAATGAGGAACACAGGTAGGGGCATCACTATCGAAAATAAGACTCACTGAGGGACTTCCCTGGTGGCGCAGTGGTTAAGAATCCGCCTGCCAATTCAGGGGACATGGGTTCGATCCCTGGTCTGGGAAGATCCCACATGCCGTGGAGTAACTAAGCCCATGGGCCACAACTACTGAGCCTGTGCTCTAGAGCCCACAAGCCACAACTACTGAGCCCACATGCCACAACTACTGAAGCCTGAGCGCCTAGAGCGAAGGCAGACTGCCTCTGGAAGCTAGAAAAAAGGCTAGGAAACAGATTCTCTAGAGCTTCCAGAAAGGAATGCACCCTGCCAACACCTTGATTTTAGCCCAGGTGACCTTTATCAGAACCTGCTGTGGTCTGAATGGCTGTGTTCTTCCAAAATTCATATGTGGAAATCCTAACCCCACAAGGTAATGATATTAGTAGATGGGGCCTTTGGGAGGTACCAAAGTCATGGGGGGTGTAAGGGTGTAAAGTCATGAGTCATAAGGATTAATGTCTTATAAAAGAGGCTGCAAGATTTCATCAGCCATAAAAAAAAGATGAAACCTTGCCATTTGTGACAACATGGATGCACCTTGAGGGTATTATGCTAAGTGAAATAAGTCAGAGAAAGACAAATGCCATGTGATTTCACTCATATGTGGAATATAAAAAACAAACAAACAAAACCCCCCAAATAAATGAACAAACCAAACCAAACAGAAGAGCATGCTGTGTTGTATCACAGGAAACTTACACAATTTTATAAACCAATGTTACCACAATGATAGATACATAGATAGATAGATAGATAAAAAGGCTACAAAGAGGTCCCTGGTCTCTTTCACCATGAGAAGATACAAGAAGTCTGAGACCTGGAAGAGGACTCCAAGCTGACCATGCTGGCACCCTGATCTCGGACCTCCAGCCTTCAGAACTATGAGCAATTAATTTCTGCTGTTTATAAGCCACCCAGTCCAGGGTATTTTGTTATAGCAGCCCAAACAAACTGAGACAGACTCCCAACCTACCTGACCATTAAGATATTAAATGTGGACAAAACTATAACTCAAAAAGATACATGCACCTCTATGATCATAGCAGCACTATTCACAATAGCCAAGACATGGAAGCAACCAAAATGTCTATCGACAGATGAATGGATAAAGAAGATGTGGAACATATATACAATGGAATACTATTCGGCTATAAAAAAGAATGAGATAACACCATCTGCAGCAACATGGATGGACCTAGAGATTATCATACTAAGTGAAGTAAGTCAGAAAGAGAAAGACAAATACCATATGATAACACTTATATGTAGAATCTAAAATATGACACAAATGAACTTATTTACAAAACAGAAACAGACTCACAGACATAGAGAACAGACTTGTGGTTGCCAAGTGGGAGGGTATATTGGGGGAGGAACGGATTGGGAGTTTGGGGTTAGATGCAAACTATTGTATATAGAATGGGTAAACAACAAGGTCCTACTGTATAACACAGGGAACTATTTCAATATCCTGTGATAAACCATAATGGAAAAGAATATGAAAAAGAATATATACATACATACATATATATATATATATATATATATAACTGAATCACTTTGCTGTACAGAAGAAATTAATACAATGTTGTAAATCAACTACACTTCAATAAAACATATTTTTTAAAAAAGATATTAAATGTGTTGCTTCATGCACAGTTTGTAGTACTGTTACATCAGCAACAGAAAACTACAGGGGACATTTGATACTAATGGCTTAATGGAATTTTCAAGGTACCTCTTGTTATTTCAAATGATTTGTGATTCATAAGTAGACAGAGCTAGAAGTAAGAAGAATCAAGCTATAATGACAAGCAACTCTTTCAAGGTACTTTTTAAAGTTGTTTTTCACTTATATGATGTAATTTTAAAACTTTGGGTTCCATTATCCCAGTTGTGGCTGAATGTATCTACTGCTCTTACAATTTTCGAAATGCTCCCCAAACTCTCGTATGTCTGGTCTGAGATGCACGAAATACTTATAGCTACAAGCATAACAGTTGCTTTCATTACAACTTAGGAAAAGGACACTAATACTACCAATTTTACATGTCACAAATTTCACAATAGCCACTTATATGCTGCTAGGGGGAAAGCTAACTTTAAAAGAAAACTACCTAAAGGACGGCTTCTTTTAGTTACATACACACAAACACATGATTACACAAAACTCAAAAACTTGGAGAAAATAAAGACAATTTATGAAAATTTCAATCCGAGTCCCTAGTCATTTGGCAATTTGCAAAATGGTGGCAGGGTAATGCAGAAAAAAATGAATTTTAATAGTGTGCCAAATAAAAATGTGAACATGATTTAATTACAAGATTTCAATGCAGCTAGGTTACAGAAGCACAGCAATTATCTTTCCATTCAAAGGATAATGAAATATCTCAACCATTCTTTTTATAAATGACAGTGGCTCTGTGTCTCCAGAAATCACTTCAGGGCTAAGAGCAGTTATCACCTGAGGCTGACAGAAGAGCTGCCATTAACTTTGTCCTGAATCCCTAGGTGATCCCTTCATATGCCTCTAAAAGTTAGTCCTACCTGCTCTAACACAAACTCAGAAGAAATTCTGTATCCATGTTATAATACTTACTTCTTGAACCCAGACGATGAATTTCCTCCACTAAGAGGTTAACTTCGTGATCCACATTCATTGCTGCCTGAGGGAGAAAAAAATAAATGTGTGTTACTACAGTTTCTACATTCCATTAAACACACCTTGCAAAATCCAAGGGCCCTTTCTTTTTTTCATGTAGCATTTGTAACTATTAATTTACTGTGGCCCTCTTCCTAAAAATACTTGCATGATGTACCCGGCCTTAGAGTACCTCCATTTCCCCAATTTTATAACTGCCCCTCTGGGCTGACCCCACACAGTCTACCGGGCAGAATGAAGCCATTCTCCTTGCACCCACTATGAACTCTAAGCCCGTGCTCTGGGCACCAAAAATACAAAGGTGAGTGACACAGGACCTGCCCTCAGGGAACTCACCATACAGACGCAGAGAAAGGCCTGGAATGAATAGCAATGTGACAAGAAAGCACTCTTTTAGTGGTGGGTCCAAGGCATTAAGGGAACACAAAGGAGGAAGCCACAGAAGTTTTTGTCACTGGGGAGGGGTGGCCAGTAGACAGTTGGGAAAGGATGTTCTAGGCACAGGGAAGAGTATATACAAAAGCACAGAAGCAAAAAACGAAACAAAACCGCAGCACACTTGGAGCAGGCCCTAAGCTAGAAGCTGGTGGTACCAGGATAAAGCAACACAATCCCTCCCCTCCGGGAGCCTGCAGTCCAGTAAGGAAGGCGGATCCAGGTGGATCCAAGGCAATTTTAATACCATGGGGTCAGCGCAGTGATGACCTCTGGGTCCCTTCCTCCAGCAGGGCCCAGTGCAACCTGACTGTAATGGAGAGCCTGTGATGAAAACCATTCATCTTTGGATAAGGAGTTCAGGACTAACAGCGGCTGTGAGAATCCCCTTGGCTCATGAGGTCCTCCATGGGCTGGGCCCACCATTCCACCATTCCAGCCACCTCAAATCTACCCCCTTGAATCCAGGCTGCAGCTCCACGGGGCTTCTTTTTATTCCTCAAATACCCCTCACTCTCACACCTCCAGCCTTCACATATCCTGTTTCTTCTGCAACCCGGACTCTGGCTATTCCTCTTTCTTGGGGCTAACTTCCATACGTCCAGTCCCAGCTGAGATATAACTTCCTGCAGGAAGCCCTCCCTGAATCCCTGGGGTAGGAGAGCTCTCCCACGTGTGTTCCCACAGCATGTGCGCCCTCTTCATTTCACTTGATTGGAATGACACTTCTCAGTTTTTATCACTAGACAGTGAGCTCCTCTATGCGGGGATCTGACTGTCATGCTCACTGCTGGACCACATCTGGCACCAAGAGCAGGAGTTCAATACATAACTGGTGTGCAGACTGGAAAATGATCAAAGACATGAGAAGGGATGGAACCACACCTGTGGGTGTTGTCACCATGGAGCTGCTGATTTATGTGAGGAACAGAGAGGAGCTCTAAGAGGGAGGAAGTGCACTCCGACAGAAAAGGTAAAGGGGCCTGGCAAACACCTACAGAAAGTGGGAGGAGACAAACACAGCAAGAAATAGGAAAGTGCAGGTAGAGCTGGAGGAGAGAAACCCAACCTTGTTGGATCAAAGAAGTATAGAAGTAAAGGAAGAAGAATGAGTTTCTATAGGAAGGCAGTAATTTACAGTGAAAACAGCAACATGAGGGTTGGAAAGTATGAGCAGCTGGGCAAAAGGAATCAATTCAGTCTGTCTGCAAATCGTAAGTTTTCCAAATCAAATAAAAGAGTGGGATTGTGTGAATGGTTTACGTTGGGGTGATGATTTGGAAGAAACATCTTTATTCAGACAGATTGTAACTACTTCTGGGTAGCTTTGAAAAAACAAGAATGATATCTATGTTTAAATGATATTGATCAAGACCCCAGATTTGCTATCAGCTAATAATAAAAGCACCACTATACTACTACACTGCTACACTTTTGTGTAAATCTTATAATTTAAGAAGCCTACATTGCAATAAAAGGCCACATCTTAGGTTAATGCATCTACATAAAACCGAATATCAAAAATTATAGTGTCCAAATGTGGGAACTTTGTGTTGGTGAAATTATAACATTATATTCAATTCAAGATAGTTTAAGAGAGACACTAAAAAGCTAAAACATACCCAGAGGACACAACTGAAAGACATGCCATGAGAATAATGGTAAGAAAAAAACCTGTTAGTGTCAGTGTGGTGGACAGCTGTTATATCTCCCTGCTCAGCACCCATTCCACCTTCTGGCACCAGCAGTCTAAAGTTTGTTTGGATACAGCCTTTCCTTCCTTACTCTAAACCCATGTATCTTGGGTAGAGCCTCACCCTGGACTCCAGGAGTGGTTCAAAGTCAGAATAATTGGTTTGGGACATAGGATAGGTGATCCCATCCTGAACAATGGGTTCAGCCCATGAATTTTGCCTGAACTACTAGTAAAAAGACACTTTCCTACTGGGTTTTAAGGTATAAGCTCACAGCCCCTATATAAATGGCTACCATGTGAAAAGAGCCTGCCAGGAATAAAGCCGACACAAAGAAAACTCCAGCCACATAAAAATGATTGAGTCTGTATATGACCTTGGACTTTCCAGTTACATGAACCAATCTTTCCTGGTTTGGCTTGGGCTGGTTTGCTTAAGTTTCTGTCACTTGCACTCTAAAGAATCTTCACTTTTAAAGTTAACCTAGAGAAGACCTGCAGCTATTTTTTTAAAAATTAAAGCTCCTTTTATGCACTTGTGTGAATAGTCTTATTTCGTGTTGCTCTATTGGGTAGGATGGATAGATGGAACAGAAAGGCAGATTTGAAAGCCATATGAGACAAAATTTCTCAAACAATCAAAACAGTCTAACAGTGAATAAAGTTTGCAGTAGTAGTATGGATCTGTGAGGGTTGATGAAGAAATCAGCCCACATTGGACAAAATAGAAAGGGAAATGTCCAAGGGGATTACAGTCCTTTCCAATTCTCAGATGCTTTGATTTCCTCCCACCCTGAATATTTATCTCTTTAACATCGTTTTCCACTCCTTCCACGCCCCCACCAGCCACGCACTTCAGACCTAATTCTCCTTTAATAATGAGACTCAAAGAGGAAATCCCGCCCTTAAATAGTGTGAATTCCTGGATCACATTAAGCAGATGTATGTTCATCCAATTTTAAGACAGGAAGACAACCAGAATTTCTTTGTAATTAATTACACCTGAGGCTCCTTATCTGCATTAATTCATGTAAACCTAAGAACGTTACAAAGTAATATTATTTATCCCCATTTTATGGATGATGAAACTGACTCCGAGGGGCTTCCCACAATTAAATGCCATTTCTACTGCATCATTCTGGCTCTTCTCCTTTTTTAAAAATTTTGTTTTATTTATTTATTTTTTTGCTGGTTATTATGCCAACTACACTAAATATACAGTGGGTTGTATTTGTGTGAAATATTACATGCTGAGTGCTTACTAAGGCAGGCACTTACAAAGTAAGAAAGGCTCCCTGCACTGACCCTTCCGAGTGGGAACATAACAGGCTTAGAAACTATTGCTAGCATACGTAATTTGGCATGGTTTACGTCTTTATTTGATTATTTGACGAGGACAAAGGAGTATAAAATACGCTGTTGCACAATCCTTGGAAGGCCCATGACATTTTATAAGGACAGAAGCCTGGGACCGGTGTTAAGCAGCGAGATCAAGAACAATGAGAAGCCATGGGCAGAGCAAGTCTAAGGGAAAGAAAGAGCCCCTCAGTGGGAGGCTCAGGGGAAGGCGATGGCAGATGCTAGTCGGGCCCTCTAATTGAGACAGAATCCAATTAGGCACTGTGCGTGGGAATCACAAAGAAAGCGGAATGTGGGAGCACCGGGCCATCTGGGCCATATGCTGAAATGCTCCCCCATCAATATGCGCTTAAGAATATATTTAAGGACTCTCATAGCTTTTTTCTTTGAGTGGTTGGTTCCTTTTTTGTTTTGTTTTGTTGGTTTGTTTTTTGGTTTTTTTTTTTAAGTTTGGAGGCAATACCTAGAAATTTTCTAATGTCAGGGAATAAGCCTACTGGAGTGGGGACATCTTGGAATCAGGAGTCACCTCTCCACCCTGGGGCTGGCCACTGTTTCCCCACCCTCCTTCACAATCCCTGACGAGCAGCTGGTGCGGGTCAAAGAATGACTGGGTTCCTTCCTGCCCCTCGCAGGCGCGCACACACTCCATATTTGGTCATACCTGCACCAAGTTTGGGAGCTGGCCCGGAAGGGGTCCCAAAACCCTGTCCCCAGCGGGCCATCACACGGTCACCACCGGTACCGGTGCAGAGCTGGGGAGCGCGGGGTTCGGCCCCCTGCTCCGGGGCGCACGGCTGGCTCCCGGGCGACCTCCCCAGGAAGAACCGCATTCCGGAAGCCTTTGTCTCCGAGAGTCTCGCGCCAGCGCCGCCTGCCTGCGCTCCCCGGCTGTCGGTGCGCCCCCGGCGCGCCCCGAGAGCGAGCGCCTAAACCGAGCGACGCAAACGGACCCAGCCCGGGGCTCCCCGAGTCGCTGGTGTCCCCTCACTACCACCCACGCCGCACACAGAATCGGGAGCGTACAGATCCGCACCCGCCGCCGGCGCCGCAGAATCCACTGCCCTGAAGCCACCAGATTCCTCGGGGGAACCTGTCCCCTCACTCCCAGCCCGTCCCCGCTCCGCTCTGCGGAACTGGCTCCCCAAGCGCAAAGCGGACACGTTGCTCCGGGTAAAAATCTTTAAACGCTGCGGATCTCCCTGCCCTGTCCGCCCCCGGGCGGCAAAACGTCACGTGAGCCGAGGGCGGAAGTCTGCTGCAGAGTTGGGGGGCGCAGGGGCGCGCCCACCCGGTCCCCCGCACCCGCTCAGCCCAAGGTCAGTTATACCCTCCAGGCGTCTTAGCCCCGTCCCGGTCCCGGCTCTCCACCCGCAGCCCACGATCCCCCCGGCTGCTTGGCCTCCACCGGCTACCCCCGTCCATCCTTCATACCTACCTGGCCACATCTTCCCAGGGCAATCACTCACCTCTCCGCCTCCTTTTCTTTTCCGAGAAAACTGGGGCTGCGTCGGTGCGGGGTGGTTATCTTCTTCAGCGCACTGGGGAGGAAGAAGCTGAGGAAGGAAGTGACTGAGGCAGAAAAGAGAGGCTGGTGTGCAGGAGGAGGAAGGCTAGCGGGGGGAGGGGGGAGAGTTTCGGTGCTCAGGAATGCGGCCGCCCACACTCCCAGGGACAAGCCTATGAGGAGGAAACTCAAGAGAGGAGATGCCCGAGACGGGGGCAGACTCCAGACAGGTGGCGGAGCGCTGGAGGCTTCTAGGAAAATGCGCCCAGAGCTTCGATTACCGCCGCCTTTCCCCCACGCCGCTCGGAGCCACGGATCCTCAACCCCAGCATCTGATCCTGGTCGTTGACTTCCTGCCAGGATCTCTCTCCTAACTTAGGAAACAAAGCGTCCCCAGCGTGCTGAATGCTGAGGTCTCCTAGGAGGAACGTAAGCCAGGAGCAGGGGCCTTCAGAAAGCTACAGACGTGACAACAGGATGGTCAGTTTTGCAAAAGAAAATTCATGTTTGAAAACCAGTTTGTTCTACTGCGAAGAAACTTTACTTGGACAAAGCTAATTATTGGTCCCGGTCAATATAGATTTCTTCCCCTCTTTATTATTTCCTACACGTAACCGCATAATTCAATCATTTTATTCATGCATCCTTTATTTTAGTAACTTGTTTTAATCAGCGTGTGTTTGTGTGTGTGTATGTGTGTGACGTGTTTGCTGTACCTGGTGTCCCTTCGAGAAGGAAACCGAGACCCTGCTGAGAGAACTGACCCAAACTATTCTTAGGACAAAGGTTGCACAGATAACTGCCCCCAAATTTCTCCCCCCGCCCCGCCCCACCATAGCTGACTGGATTAAGAGTGGTCATGTGACCCGAGAGACACAGTCCATAAACTGGCCATCACCCTAAGAGGTGACCTGGAACAAACAATCCTCACCAAACCGGGACTCGGATCATTAGATAAGCCAATCAGATTCTCCCCTGGAAATGGAAAGGGGAGAATACAGAGAATGAGCTATCTGACAGGAAGGCTGAAGCTGAGAGGGCTTGAGGCAGAAGTAGAGAGAATGGGCCACCACAAAGCAAACACTGGAGTAAGCAAAAACCAAAGATGAAGTAGAAGGTGGATGGGGGTGGAAGTGGTAGAAGTGCCTCTATGGGAAGCTGAGACCCAGTGGTATATTAAGAACAACAAAGACCTGCTCCCCAGGAAGATATGAGTATCCAGGTCCCTAGGGCTGCACTGGATCCCGCCACTTCCCAAAGAGCGTTCTAGTTACCCTTTCACAATAAACACCTATGACTTTGGGTGTGACTTCGAATGAGTCTCTGTTCCCTACCACCAAAAGATTACTCTTCAACAAAGGTCTGATTCGTCAAGGTTTCTCATGTTACATGAAGTTTAAGGTGATCCCACCATCCGTTTGAGGACTAATTTTTTCTCACTAAAAGAAAGCTGAGAGGTAGTATTTTATATCTTTCAAAGTCTACATAATGCAAAAATTATAATTCAAGAAACGATCATATTTAGCAATTCTCTAAGCAGGACCTGGCTACTTTGGTTTGTGGCAGTGACCACAATTCTTCATTCGGATAATATCCAGTGAAATGAATAATCAGTTTGTAGTTGCGCCACTTCTTTATAACTAGGTAGTGTTTCACAGTACTTTGCCAATGGGGAGAAAACAAAAGAGAGAGAGAGAGAGGGAGAAATCGATTACTTTTAGCAAGTAAAAGTCCCTGTTACTATAAAAATGGATTCACTCTTAAAATACTTTGTTTATACATGTTGCACTAAGTGTAACATAAACTTCATGTAATCTACAAAGAATTACAATTCAAGAAAGTTGTTTAGAGTAAAAGAAATATCAAAATCTCGCCAAGTAGTATTTTTCATACGTAATTCCTACTCTTTCAGTTTCCATGCAGATTTTTGCCATTATCTTTTCTTGTTCTTTTACCAATATTATCATCATGTAGCTAAGCGATGTGGAATTTTAAACTAAAAAACAGAAAATAAAGTTTAACAGTTAAGAAGTACTTATTAACTATCAAGCATGCACTGGCAACAATGTGCCCAAACTGGAGGGTACAAAGTAGCCTAAAGCATGATCTTTGTCAAAAAGAACTTTCAGCGATGTACATATAAAATTTTAATTTGTCATAAAGAACTTTCAGGGCTTCCCTGGTGGCGCAGTGGTTGAGAGTCCGCCTGCCGATGCAGGGGACACGGGTTTGGGCCCCGGTCCAGGAAGATCCCACATGCCGCGGAGCGGCTGGGCCCGTGAGCCATGGCTGCTGAGCCTGCGCGTCTGGAGCCTGTGCTCCACAACGGGAGAGGCCACAACAGTGAGAGGCCTGAGTACCGCAAAAAAAAAAAAAAAAAAAAAAGTGAAATTAATTTTAATAATATGGTTTTATATAATGTTTTCTTTAACCCAGTATATCTAAAATACTATCATTACAACTTGTGGTGAATATTTTAAATTATTAATTAGATATTATAAACTTTGTTTTGGACTAAATCTTCAAAGTTATTGTGTATTTTACTCTTAGAGTGCATGTCAGGTGCTCAATAACTTTATATGGTTAATGACTACTGTATTGGCTGGTGTAGTTACAGATAATTCCAGAATAGAGCATGACATATAGGCTAATAAATTTACTTAAGAAATTACATGTTCCTGGAATGAGGAAAATAATAACACTATATTTAAAGGTTCATTTTTAAAACTATAATTGTCTCTCTTGTAATGAATAGAAAAAAATCTTTGTAAAGGCAGGACAGCAATTCTATCCTGAGTATATACCAATAGAAAAGGTACCTAGATCCACCAAGAGACATGTACAAAATATTCACTGAGTATTCATGGCAGCACTATTTATAATATTTCTAAACTAGAGCCACCCAGATGCCCAGTAACATTAGAATGGATTAATAAATTGTAACATGTTCAAAAAATGGAAATTACCCACCAAGGAGAAGGAACAGCCAACAACTACATAGAAGGGTATGGTTGAATCTCACAAATACAGTGTGGAGTGAAATAGCCTATTATTCATTTTACATAAAGGTTTAAAAGCAGGCAAAACTAATCAGTGATGTTAGAAGTTAGGATAGTGGTTATCCTTGTTGGGTGGTGGGGGATAGTAATTGAGATGGGGCATGAGGGGGGCCTTATGGGGTGCTGACAACATTCTGCTTCTTGATCTGTCTACTGGTTACGCGCGTGTTTGACTCTTCAACAAGCTGGCCAATTAAGATAAATTTTTTCTTCCCGTGGCTATGTTCTTTTTACTAACATTTTCTTAAAAATAAAGAAGAGAGGATCTTGACCAAACAAGGCTTATTCCAGACATATAAGGATTATTCAACAATATTAGGAAACTTTATAATTCCCTATGGCCAATAGTCTCTAATTTTTATCTTATTCTTTAAATGAGGTTTATCATTTGGACCTATCATTCTAGTTCAGACTGTCATCACCTTGTACTCGTGTTAATGTTGGTTATTATGGTAATAATAATGATTATTGCGTATCTTGGGCACTAATTTTGGATCCAAGTACAGTACTGCTTGAGTGCTTTGGGTGATATAAAGAAGTAAAAGTAAAATCTGTGCCCTCAAGAAATAATGGAAAAAGAATTATATACCATGAGTAAGTGAACTTTATTTGAGGAATGCAAAGTTGGTTCAACAAATGGAAAGTAATCGATGTAATACACTATATTAATAGAATAAAGGGAAAAGTCCACATCATCATCTCAACAGATGCAGAAAAAGCATTTGACAAAATCCAATACCCTGTCATGATTAAAGACACTCAACAAACTAGGAATAGAAGGGATTTTCTCCAACCTAACAACAAGCACATACAAAAAACTCACAGCTAACACCACACTCAATGATGAAAGACTGAAAGCATTCCCCCTAAGATCAGGAACAAGACAAGGATGTCTGCTAAGGAATACACAAAAAAAGCTAGCAGGATCAATAACCCAGTTCGGCGAGGTTGCAGGAAATAATATCAATATACAAAAATCAGTTATATTTCTATTTTTTCTATATACTAGGAATGAACAATCTGAAATTGAAACTAAGAAAACAATTCTATTTACAACAAGATCAAAAGAATAAAATACTTAGGAATAAGTTCAACTAAAGAGGTGCATACACTTGTACAAAATAGTATTGAAAGAAAAAAAATTTTAAACCCAAATAAATGGAAAGACATCCTACATTCATAGGTTGGAAGGCTTAATATTGTGTAGATGGCAATACTCCACCAAATCAGCGACAGATTCAATGCAGTACCTATCAAATTTCTAACATCGTTTTTGCAGAAATTGACAAACCGATCCTAAAATTCATATGGAAATGAAAGGGATTCAGAATAGCCAAAATAATCTTGAAAAAGAGAATAAAGTTGGAGTATTCATATTCCCTGATTTCAAAGCTTACTACAAAGCTACAGTAAATGGTACTAGCATAAGGATAGACATATGGAAAATGGAATAAAATTGACAGTCCAGTAATAAACCCCCTCATCTATGGTCAATTGATTTTTGACAAGACAGCCAAGGCCATTCAATGGGGAGAGAATGTTTTTTTGTCTGTTTTTTTTTTGGTTTTTGGCCACGCTGTGCAGCATGTGGGATCTTAGTTCCCTGACCAGGGATCAAACCCATGCTCCCTATAGTGGAACCTTGGAGTCTCAACCACTGGACCACCAGGGAAGTCTCAAGAATGATATTTTTAACAAATGGTACTGGGACACTGGTTAACCACAGGAAAATAGCTAACTGGATCCCTATCTCACACCATACACAAAAACTTAAAATGGATCAAAGACCTAAGTGTAAGAGCAGAAACTATAAAACTCTTAGAAGAAGACATAAGTGTAAATCTTTATCATCTTGGACTAAGTAACATTTTCTTAGATGTGACACCAAGAGCACAAGCAATCAAAGAAAAAATAAACTGGGTTTCACCAAAATTAAAATGTCAGTGCTTTAAAGGACACCATCCAGAAAGCGAAAAGTAACCCACAGAATAGAAGAAAATTTTTGCAAATCATGTCTGA